TGTATGTTATCAAACATCTCATCAAAATTATTTTGATGAGATGTTTGATAACATACATAATTTAGAAGTCATTATAAGTATACAGTAAAAAAAAATTTTTTTTTTTAACAACGCTAACATGAAAACAATAATTGAAATTGAACTCGGTCATGCCGTAACCTAATGGATGCACTTTATTAGAGTTTTTTGGTCATAAGGAAGAAAACAGACTGGCGACTTAGCCTTTAGCATTTTTTATTGCCTTCCGATACATTTCCAGTTTTCCTTCTCATATGCCGTTCAAATACGTTTAAACTGAAAAGCAAAAAGATACGTAACGAAATTTCGCTGCTTCTAGTTTTCCGCTCAATTTGCTCAAATAATTAGTCAAATGAGGTCATACACAAAGTCTATGACCAATAAACTAAATTTTTTAAAAAGCTACTACCAAAATCAGTCAAAAAGTTTTGCTACTTTTTAGTATACAGTCTTGTCACGGTTTAGCTAAATTACCAGCAACTGGTGTTAGACAAAGTACAGCAGTATTCTTTAGGTAAGCATCAATGACGGCTAATCTTGCTAAAGAATCTGACAAGTTCAATTTTGAAAAACTTCGTGAAGCCGAAATATTTCGCCGACTTGCATTTGTTGGTATACTGACCTCTACAGTAGCTGCGTTGTCATGTGTTATTGCAGTTCCAGCACTGTACGGATACATTCAGAAAATTCAGTCTGGCTTGCAGGTTTGATTTTGAAATTCAAGTAATTCTTCTATCAAGAAAAAACAGTTGACTGATTTAATTTTTGCATCACTTTTTATAAATTTCTAATAAGGTAGAACTGCTCTAATCATAAAATCGAGAGAATTTTCAGCTAGAGGCTGACTACTGCAAGTCTATGACCGACACAATGTGGCAACAGTTCGCAAAAGCACAGCAACATAAAGGAGTTTTCAAACAGCACAATCAACAGCATGATCTAGAAGCACTGCTTGCTGAGACATTCTCAGAAAATTCTACACCAGGTATACTTTCTTCGCTCAACTTATTTCATCTTTTTTTTTGCTGTAGGTAATGCTATCGTTGAACTACGCATTAAATAATGGAAAGTACAGGTCGCTTTAAACGCGGGAGCCGCAGTAGCTCTTACATAGCAAGTTTTTCGCCGTCATTTTCCGCTGGAGTAGAATTAGAAGATTTACCGTGTTCATGCGGCATCGGTGCTCCTGGATCTCTTGGAGCACCTGGTCTTCCAGGTGATGCGGGTGTCGATGGAAAGCCTGGTGCGAACGGTAAGAATGGAAAAGACGCAAAACCAGGAGATCTTCTAAAACCTGACGACTTCTGCTTCGATTGTCCGCCTGGTAAAACCTTAAATAAATATCCCTAATCATAATATAGCCGCGTTTTTGTTTTGTTAAAGGAAAAAGTAAAACATTCAATGATTTTCAGGACCCGCTGGGCCACAAGGACCGCCAGGACAGCAAGGGCCAAAAGGAAATCCAGGTCTTCCTGGTTTGCCGGGCGAACCAGGTGCTCCAGGCAAAGCAGGTTCTATAGGTCCCTTAGGTGAAGCAGGACCGGGTGGTCCTCAGGGAGAGCCGGGTCCGCCAGGACTTCCTGGACTAGTTCTTGATGTAAGTTGTTAAACAGTCAATGAAAAGCGAGCGGTCATTCAGTCTACCCTGTGCAAATATTTTACAACATTTATTTGACAGGTCGAAGGTCCGGAAGGACCTGTGGGACCTCCGGGACCACCAGGACAGCAGGGATCACCAGGGCTTGATGGAGCAGATGGAAAGCCAGGTTCTCCTGGTCTTCAGGGACCTCAGGGACCGCCTGGTAAACGTGGGCCTGATGGAAAACCGGGAGTTAAAGGTGACCAGGGCATAGCTGGACCTCAAGGATTGGGAGGTTCGTGTGATCATTGTCCTCCTCCTCGTACCGCCCCTGGCTATTAGATGGCGATGACACAAAGCGCTGCTGTTTGTTAAAAAGATTTTTACTTCTTCTGTCTCGTAAAGCCAAAAAAAATTACAAAGAAGCGTGCACTCAATCAGAATAATGTTGCAATTGTTTGAGATTGCATTGCTTTCAGTGATACGTAATTTTAACTTGCTATTATAAAAATAAACGATAAAGTTTACCAAAATTCTTTCTGTGTCATGTTAGATCAAAAAGACCTGCAAAAAGTCGGTAAACACTGGTTAACACATGTATATAAAATAAAACATATTGTACGTAAAAAAAAATTAAACGCCTGAATCAGACCCCTTCTTTTTATTAGTTTTTGAAAAAGCTATCCATGATAGAGAATAATTTTCTGCAAATAACTTTTTTTAAGAGGTGTAAAACAGAGAAGGTGTACAGAATTGCCAAAATATGGTTCCAATTGCCCTTTCTTCCAGTTATTTTCACTGACATTATCGAATGCCTTATCTTCTAGAAACAAAACCATTTAATCACTAAATTGGTTATTAAATTTTATTGATTTCAGCAAAGAAATTAGTTGTTTTACAAATTTATAAATTTATTTAGACAATTTAAATATAGTGCTATTTTTCTATGCTATGTTAGATTTGATTAAGTGGACCTGTAAACAATCAGCAAACACTGGTTAACGCATGCACATAAAATAAACATTTTAGAATGTTCTTTATAAAACTAAAGTATCAACGGAAAGTGTTTCACGGTAGGATACGCGACGTTTGATGTCACCTTAAGAATAGCTAATAAGTTAAGGTCAAAAAACACACCAAATGTAGCAGCAAATTCATATGTTTGCTAGTAGTTTTTTTTTTTTTTTTGATTGTCTTATTTGGTAATAATAAGTATACCCAGCAGTTGACATTATTGCATTGTAGCTAAATAAAATAACCTTATAACGGCCTAAGGTGGAAAAGTATGATGGTTAGACATAACACTCTTATCATCGAGCGACAGCATTGTATTTGATCAGTTTTTGTTTTTCGTCATTTCGTTTTTCCATTTCTTCGATAAGGCTTTATACCATTTGTAGTGCAAACATGATGCATCATTGCAAATAAATTGTTTCTTTTAATCTTTCAACAAACTGAAATTTTGTAACCACTGTTTATCAAACCTCTGTATTCCAGATTGCTTTCCTGATGATTGTTACAAATAGTTTTTTAAATTTAGTTTACCAAATATCTTTTGTTATAATGACATGATTTGATATATGTCATGTTTAAACGACATTTTTTTTTTTTTTTTTTTT